ATAAATCATATTTATATAAAGTCTCAGTGCAGCTAACAATGTATTTGGTGTCGCCATCCCCAGCCCTACTGCCATCTCCCCCTCTTCCTGCTGCTGTGCCCACCGCCTCCTGGCGTGCCCGCTGTGAGGTGTGCTGGGGTTGGGGCACGGCGATGCTGCCCTTGGCCAGGAGGGCTGGGGTGTTTGTCTCGGCGCTCCCCTCCCCTCCCCAGGTGCCCGGCCCCACTGCTGTGCTCCCCCTGACAGCGCGTGCTGCCCAGCCGCAGGCCTGCAGCTCTGCAGCTGCTCCCAGCGGGAGGTTTGGTGCCAGGGGGTGCCTGGGTTCAACAAGTCCAAGCACCAGGTGCTGCACCTGTGCTCACTCACGAGAGCAGAGCAGAGAGGGACAATCACCTCCCCAGCCCTGCTGGCCACGCTGCTTTTGGTGCAGCCAGGATACGGTTGGCTTTCTGGGCTGCAAGCACACAGTGCTGCCTCATGGTGAGCTTCTCGTCAACCACCACCCCCAGGTCCTTCTCCTCTGGGCTGCTCCCAATCCATTCTCTGCCCAAGCTCTCTTTATCCTTGGCATTGCCCCAGCTCGGATGTAGGACAGAATCACAGAATCACAGAATCGTCTAGGTTGGAAGAGACCTCAAGATCATAGAGTCCAACCTCTGACCTAACACTAAGAGTCCCCACTAAACCATATCCCTAAGCTCTACATCTAAACGTCTTTTAAAGACCTCCAGGGATAGTGACTCAACCACTACCCTGGGCAGCCTGTTCCAATGTCTAACAACCCTTTCGGTAAAGAAGTTCTTCCTAACATCCAACCTAAAACTCCCCTGGCGCAACTTTAGCCCATTCCCCCTCATCTTGTCACCAGGCACGTGGGAGAACAGGCCAACCCCCACCTCACTACAGCCTCCTTTGAGGTACCTGTAGAGAGCAATAAGGTCGCCCCTGAGCCTCCTTTTCTCCAGGCTGAACAAGCCCAGCTCCCTCAGCCGCTCCTCGTAGGACTTGTACTGGGTATCCAGAGAACAACCGGTATTGCCGCTAAAGACTGAGGCAAAGAAGGCATTAAGCACCTCCGCCTTTTCCTCATCTTTTGTAACAAGGTTTCCCCCTGCATCCAGTAAAGGATGGAGATTCTCCTCAGTCCTCCGTTTTGCACTGATGTATTTGTAAAAACATTTTTTGTTGTCTTTTAGACTTTTTGTTGATCTTTGTGCTTTTGTTTCCCTTATATCCAGCCTGAACCTGGCCAGTTTCATCTGATGCCACTGCCCCTCCCTCTCCCACCAGGCACTGCTGTGAGGAGCCAGGCCCCCTTTCCTTGATGCCTTCCCCAAAGGCACCAGAGCGTGCTGTTAGGTGCCCCTAAACCTCTTCTGAGCCATGCTGAGCCAGCCCTGGTTGCCTTCTCCTGCCCAGGACCCTACAAAGGACGCAGTGCCTGGGCGAGGCCTGATGGGTGCTGAGCAGAGGGCACCATCAGCCCTGCTCTCCCCAGCGAGTAAAGACAGACGGGAGAAAGTCCCCAGGAGCAAGCAGAGGGCTGACTTCCACCCAGCGTGGGAGGAAGCACGGGAGCCCAGAGGGCAGGCCAGCAGTGCTGGGGCATGGGCAGGACTGGAGGGACTGTGTGGTGCAGCCTGAGAGGCAGGCCCGAGCTGTGATTGAACGGACCCTCCTGCTGTATGTGCTTGAAGACACATGGCGTAGCCAAGGTGACCGGGACGGGGCCCTGGGAAGGCACAGCCAGGGACCCCGGCCTGCTGGGAAACACCAGTGCCACGGACAAGACAAAAGTTGGGGGGCATGGAGTGGACACAAGGCTCAGAATTTGGGGCCAGAGAGCTGCCGAGGTGAGGATGGGCCCTTGGGATACCTCCTACGGGTGGCTGGTGGCGTCTCCAAGCGATGGACTGTGACGTCTGTGAGCAATGGATTGTGACTGCGTGGCCCTGGCTGCTCATATGCGGGCGCAGAGTCCCAGCGCGCCGGCTAGTGCCCGCACTCCGGCTGAGCGGTTGCGTGAGGTCTGGAGTGAGGAGCGAGGTTGGCCTTGGTGCTGGTGTCGTGCCCTGGGAGTTGCTGCAGCAGCTCTCAGTGCCCTTCCCAGAGCCATCAGAGCTTCTTCCACGGCCCTGCGTCGTTCGGGCCGTCGGGAGACCCAGGAGGAGCGCTCGCAGCAGCAGAGGTAAGCGCGGTGGGGACACCTTGCCCTGGGCCCTGGGCAGCTGGAAGGCTTTCCTCCTCTGGGGACCTGCACAGCTCTTGCAGCTGCCCCCACAGCAGCCGATGACCGTGGCCTCTTCTCTGCCTTTTGCAGCGTGACAGCTGCTGGTGCAGCAGCAGTGAGGAGGAGCAGCCCCTCATCCCCTGCTCCACGCAGCCCACTGCAGCAGCTGGAGAGCATGGCCACGGCGCTGGAGAGCCGCTGCCCCATTTGCCTTGACACCTGGGACAATGCGGGCTATGTGATGCCATGTCTCCACCAGTTCTGCTTCCGATGCATCCAGCAGTGGGTGGAGAGCAAGCCCGAGTGCCCCCTCTGCAAGAGGAGGGTCAGCTCCATCGTGCACTCGGTGCAGGCAGACGACAAATTTAAGGAGGTCGTCATCCCACCGCCGGCAGAAGCGTCTCTCATCACCCAGCCGGCAGGGAGAGCTCGTGGCCGCGCAGCCACCACCGACCCCCGTCACCGTCCTGCAGCACCACCATCAGCTGCAGGGCCGGCTCTTGTGGGAGGCCTCCAGCCTGAAGTTTGGGCCTCCCTTTTCCGAGACCACCCAACGCTGATCCATCCCGTGCTGCCCTGGCTGCGCCAGGAGCTGAGGCGCATCCATGGGGCTGACCACGCGGAGGCGCAAATGGTGGAAGACCTCCTCACCTCCGCCGTGGGCCTCCTGGGGCTGGATGAAGATCGCCTGGTGCAGCTGCTGCAGCTTTCCATGCCGGAGCACGCAGCCACCTTTGTGCACCGGCTCATCGGCATCACCGTGCAGCGGTGCAGCTGGGTGGCCCACCGCCTGCTGGGCCTGGAGGGCTCCCGTGCTGCCATGGGACAGGCAGGCAGCCCCGCAGCTGCCCCCAGGCCTTCTGCCTCCCGAGAGGGGCCTCCTGGTGCTGGTGCAGAGCCCTCCAACAGCGCTGCTGGAGCCAGCACGGAGGAACTTGCGGGCAGCTCCAGTGCTGCCCTTCAAGGGAGTCGCAGCCAGCCCCCCTCCAGCGCGGTTCCTGTCCCCAGGAACCAAGAAGCGCCCCAGGAGGAGACACCGGAGGCTGTGCCTGGAGCCTCCACAGCAGACCAGGGCAGGGACCATCCCCAAAGGGGGCCCCGGCGAGCCCCGAAGAGGAGGGCCCCCACCTCCCAGGCCTCTTCTCCAGCAGCCAAGAAGAGGCCACCCTGCCGGCAACACTAGGGCAGCGCCCCAGGAGCTGGCCACAACAGGGCCGGGCCAGCGGGTGGGGCACACGGAAGGCCCTCAGGACATAAAACTATACAATGTAGAAAATAAATCGTATTTATATAAAGTCTCAGTGCAGCTAACAATGTATTTGGTGTCGCCATCCCCAGCCCTACTGCCATCTCCCCCTCTTCCTGCTGCTGTGCCCACCGCCTCCTGGCGTGCCCGCTGTGAGGTGTGCTGGGGTTGGGGCACGGCGATGCTGCCCTTGGCCAGGAGGGCTGGGGTGTTCGTCTCCGCGCTCCCCTCCTCTCCCCAGGTGCCCGGCCCCACTGCTGTGCTCCCCCTGACAGCGCGTGCTGCCCAGCCGCAGGCCTGCAGCTCTGCAGCTGCTCCCAGTGGGAGGTTTGGTGCCAGGGGGTTCCTGGGGCCAGCCTGTGCCCATCCCCGTCGCCCCAGGCCTTCCTCCTGGATACTGCAACTTTGGTACTCAGCTACACGGCCCAGGTGGCCCTGATTGGGCGGGGAGCTTTTTCCTCATGACCTCCAGAGATCCTTTCCAACCTCAGTCATTCTTTGATCCTTTGATTCTCTGACAAATCCCATCTTAGCTACAGGTGCAGCACTAAGGGGTAGGCTGTGTTTTGTATAAGTCATTCAGTACTAGCATAGAGTTTAGTGAATTGGTGAGGCATGCCCTGGAGGCTCCTATTATCTGTCTTTATGGGTGAGTCGTCCAAATCTGCCCAATGGAAATCTCTACATCTGCATTTCCCTGCCATGTCTTGCTCTAGGATACGAGAGAACTGTATTCCTTTGAGGTGTCAGTGTGGGGTTTTCTTAGGAGTTTTGCTGGACAGAAGAAAAGGGGATGGCGTGCTAACAGACAGCTACATGCATGGAAGATGTAACCCCCTTCCTTTCCATCTGCATCCCAAACCCAACACAATTCAGGTGTGGACAGAGACAAGCAGGGTCTGGGTGTGCATTCAGGAGAGACTCGTCATCCCAGTTTTGAACTGAGGACAGGGGGAGGGTGCACAAATTTCAATCCCAGCCACAATGTCCAGCTGGTATTGGTTAAAAGTGCAAGACATCCTTCCTACACGCAAGCAAGCCAGGATGAAGACAGTGACTGTTGAAATCCAGCACAGATCACAGGCTGGCAAAATTGCCCAAGAACTACAAGATTTTTCTGCGTCCTGACCCAGTGAAGTGGGGAAACAGAGGAACTGTCCTGGGGGAGCCACGGTGTGTGTAAAACTCCTCAGCACAGAGCCAGGAGCAGTGGGCAGCTCGGGAAGGGGTACAGAGAGCAGCTGCCTGCCTTCAATGGATGTGATGATAGGAAAGGGGAAAACTGAAGAGGGCGTGAGACTATCCAGGGTCACGATCTCCACCTTCTCTACCTGGACCATTTCTCCCGTGAGAAAGGGCAGGTGGATTGCAGGGAGACCATGCCACAGGTGCATGCTGCAAGTCACACTGGCAGCTGAGAGAGAGCAGAGAGGGACACAAACTCATTTTTCTGGGAAGCAGCTCTAGAGGCACTCGAGTGCAAGCACTGGAAGCGCTGCAGACGTGCTGTCTCGAGTTAGGTACAATCGGGGGATGTGGAAAGCATCTCCCAGGCAGCACAGCTCCCCCTCCTTGCAACACACACACAGCTGTGTGAGGGGATTGCTGGCATTTGCTTCTGACCAAGGAAAGGCTCAGAGTGCCTGGGAATGTGAGTCCCAAGCAAAGTAGCCAGCTCCTTTGTCTTTGGATTGACTGACCCAGCACTGAACTGATTTGGCTCCTGGGGACTGGAGAAGCACACAGGCAAATGCTCTTCTCTCTCCTGGTCGGAAGCTTTTGGTTTGGTGCCTTTTTACTGTAATTGCCAAATCCATCAGTCGTTGCAGGCTCTCTCCAAGACTTGATCCTATTTCACCTTCTGCTCAGGAGGGATAGCCAGCCAGTTTCAACAATGCTCACAGAAAAGTGCTTGGGATTTTTTTATTCTGGACTATGTCTCTGGGCATCCTTGTTCCTGTCTTTCTTTAAAGGTAAGTTCATCTGTGGTTGTCTTTTTTTTTTTTTTTTTTTTTTTTAAATAATTTCTTTCATAAACACCAGTCACACTCACCCCAGCTCTTTTTCAAGACTTTTTTCTGCATCTAGTTTAAACTTCATCAGGGTGCAGTACTGAAGTTAGGAAAAGTTTTGTAATAAGTTTGATTAAGTCTGTATATCTTACACTACTGTGCACCTTTTCTTAAGAAAGGAAAAGATGTGCTTTTTAAATGCAAGCTGAGCTATTTTCACTTTCAGAAATTAAATGATGGCATTTGGAGTGGAAAACGTTCTTGCTCTCCTTTATAATTTTATTCTATCAGTGTTTATTTTGGGAATGAGAAGTTATAACTCCAGACTGGACAGGATGGCTGAGAGAACACTGTAGGTGTGATGCTGAAATTATGTTGTTCTACAAAGAAAATGTAACCAGAAGAAAAATAGTAACTGTTTACTTTCTGTGCATTATTTGGTAAGATACGCAGCTGCATAAACATATGACTTTGCTATTTGTGGTTTAATGTTTTTCTCTTCTACCTTTGAGTTCGTTTAAAAAGAGTCCTTCCAGGCAGTGACGGGTGTAAGTTGGAAATACCTAATAAAAATAATAATGGGCTGCTGTAGTCTAAGCTGTCATCTGTGATCAGGCTATCTTCTGAAGTTTTGTCATGTTACAAACAAAAGTAGTATGCGTGTGACTCTTTCTAAGCATAGAGGAATGCAAGGCTAATGACAAAGATTTTTTAAATGGGAAGGGAGATTGAAATAGCCGTAGTCCTGAAAGATGTTCTGGGTTTTACACAAAATACACTTTTATTGCTCTCTAACAGCTTTTTTGGTGAAACATTCCTGCCTGCAGCAAATATGAATTTTAAAATTGAGTATTGCAGGTGTGCTGGACTGTGTTATGTTACCCATGGTTTCTACATAGAGAAAGGAGGATTGCCTTTTAAAACAGGGAAGGTAGTCCACATACTTCAGACATGCAGGTGCACTGGAAAGTTACATATTCATGTTGTTGCACTGGACTGTACAAGTCACCCTAATTCCTCATTAGTTTATCTGAACCCTCAAAACAACAATGCATGTCATTATTACAGCTCCACATTTCAGTTGCCTGATGTAGCAGTGGTATTGCAGAAAATGTTGTGTCGTCCCCCCCCCCCCCCCCCCCTCCTTGTTTGATTAAGAACCTTGTTATCTTTGTTGGTAAGACATTTCCGTGCTACTTCAGAGCTGAACTAACATCGAAGTGATGGCTGCTGGTTATTGATATAACTCAGCTTACGTGCAGTCCTATTTCAAACACTTAAAATATGGCCTTTTGAATACTGAGTAATCACTAATTCACCAAGGAGGATGTTCAGTTTCTCTGAGCAGCACACGAAGACTCAAACAGCTTTTATAAATAATTCAGGGGATTTTTTGTTAGGTGCTTTTACCAGAAGTTTACAAGTATATGCTTTTATAGACAACTGCTAATACAGAATAAAATGAACCTGTAATGAAGGTGCTCCCTATTTACCCTCTGCTCTATGGGTATTTATATATTTTATTTCTAGAAAAGAGAAAATCCACAGAAATTGGGCAGTTGGGGCAGAACAGAAGAAAAATCAAGATGCTATTAACATGTTGTCAATAGTGGAGCCTTCTTAGTAGTAAGCTTCAAATGAACTCCCACAGGACTACTCGTGGAATTCACAGCAAGCCTGTCATGACTAACATCACTCGCAGGTAGTGCTGGGTTGTTTCAACAGAATTCGTAGCAGTTCCTCAACTACTGAAAATTCCTGCAGGGCTGATTGACAGGGAAGTGGTTAAAAGGACTAGGAAAAAAAAACAACCAAACAACCAAACAAAAAAATTTTTATTTTTTTTTTTCCCCATGAATTTTCATTTCAACAACCTCATCCTGGCTCTGTTTGTGCTACTGCTGGGAGCTGTGCCCTTCTTCTTAGGTCACTGCATCTGTCCTTCCCAAAGCACCTGGAGCTAGTGATGCTTTCTTGGGATATATGCCTTAGTGAAATTAGGCAAACTGGTCATCAGCTTCCTGAAGGAGCATCCAGAGGATGGAAGTCCCCTGTGAGTCCATCAGATTCATAGTAACCTCAAGCAGAGTGACTAGAAAACCTTGCTCTAGAGAAGGATGGGAACGGAGGGATCAGACCCAGAGGCTTCCCTGAGGCATGGCACAGCTGGGGAGCCAGGCTGCAAATGACTTTGTAAGGGAGTTCTCCTCCCAAGAAATACACCTCACCGACCATACAGGCACCTCGCCTCCCCAAGGAGCATTACCTTTAGCCCAGTGCTCGGGCACCTGCTGGGTTTGAACAACCCAGGAGTTAGACACACACTTTGCTAAATATTGAGCTGAACAGCTAACCGATGTATTTTAATTACTGTACTTTTATGTCCTTTTATTTTTTTATTTTTTTTTAAGTGAAGTCATAAAGTGCCATACACACCGCACAGAGCAGAGTCAGACCTTTTAGTTTCTTTGCTCCGTGTAGGCTGACATCAGGGCCCTACTCCGGCTGTGTGTTTTGAAAAGCTCAGCCAAGGCAAAGGCAAAGTAAGGATCGAGCTCATACCCTGCAATCCTGTGGGAATAGAGGGCTAAGCTGGGTTGGACAAAACCCATGGCAGAGGATGCTGCAAACAAGATTACCACCTAGAAGATGTAAATGATGAAGTAATTTAACCTGACTTGGCTTACTGAGCTGGTGCAAAAAAAAAAAAAAAAAAAAGATCTTTTATTTGTCTCAAAGTCCAGAGTTGAATTCTTATGCTGTACCCCTCTTTTGGTTTCTCATGGCTCTGCTGGTTTAGATGAGCTCTGGTGATCACATCAGAAAACAGCTGGTGATCTCTAGGAGCAAATCCTCACTAGGATACTGACTTTGGTTCACTTCCATGTAAGCAGGTGCTCTTTCTGCAGCAGCAAAATCATTGGCAAGACAGTCTCAAAAGGCCAGATTCTGCTGCCAAGCTACAATTTCATTAATGTGAACTAGTTAAAATGGAAGTGAAGGGAGTTTAAAGATCTCTGTAGCAGGAGGAATCAAGGCTGGTATTTAAATGTCTATATATGAAGTCTAAACTTTGAGCCTCGGTTGCATAGGACTGACGGAACTGCAGTGAGCTGTGAATATCAGACTGGTTTAGTCCAAGGAGACATTGCTGAATAGATGCTAGAATTCCTGTGCCTTAACAGAATATGGTGTGTTTTCATGGTAGCTTGGGTGGTCAATGGAAGAGCTTCAACTTTAGATCTCATTATTTCCCTGACTAGAACCACGTATGAAAGCCATATTATTTAGAGCTTTTCATGCTCTTAATTTGAAGTCTGAAGGTCACATTCAGCCCAGTTCCCCACATCTTCTAAGCTGATCCTCTCTTGGTTGCATCATTCCAGCAGCTGGTACAGTGCACAGGAAGGTATCTTCCAAGTCGTCTTTGGGAGAATGGCCGATGGTGCCTCAGGAGCATTCAGCCTTGCTCCAGCACAGGAGGACTTCTGACAACCTCAGAGCAGAAATTCCCATTTCAGGCACAAGATTCAGGTTCTAAAGAGAGCTCCAGACCTTTTTGCTCCCTCTGGTTTGTTCTCCAAAGAGAGGTGGAGGAGAGGATGAGTTAGTGATGGCAGTAACCTATTGGATGTTGTAGGTGGTAATCAAGGAGGGAGATAGAAAGTTTTTCCAGCTCTAAGGAGTGATTAAAGTAGATCAAAACCTTTGCATCACTCCTGGCATGGTTGTTCAAGGATACCTCCTGCCTGCATAATCTAATAAAGGAAGAGAGCAAAGCCGCCTTAGACAGGTAGAGCTAGCAGTGGCAATCAGCAGCACCCAAGGGAGTGAGCCAGGTAGGCAGGAGTTTATTGCTGAGCAAATATAGCTTGAAGAAAATGTGTTGCTTATCAAGTACTTTCTGTGTTGAGCAAAGCAGCTGGTAACAAGGCCGAGACCTGAACCAGATGATGTAAGTGGAAATAACAGTCTTCCTGCCTACGGCTCACAATTAAGTCAGTGAATTGCAATAGAAAAATAACATAATGAGCATGAGTACTTATGCTCATCAAACACAAGATGCAGGTGACCCTGCCCTGCCGTGCTATCTACTGGCCTTTCTCAGCTAAGAGAAACTGTGGTTACCAGAGAACTAAAATGGGTGTCCGCAGTACTTACTGACTTCCAGAATTAGATGCTCTACAGACCTTGTTGTCTTCCAGGATGTTGCACTGATCTCCTGGAAAAGCCCCAAAATGTGACTTTTGTCTGATTGGTGCTGTGCCTGAGCACCTCTCAGGACTGTCTGACTTCATCACCATCAGCCCTCCCTTGCGAGAGATGAGGCAGCCAGAAGAGCTCCCCTTTGATTTCTCATCACCAAGCCAATTTCACTCCACCTCTCACTAGATGTGCTGTGCTCCAGCAGCCCTTCCTCTCAGGGACACCCACTGGACTCACTCCATAGGGTCAGTGTCCTCAGTTGCTCCAGGGAGGCTTCATTAGGCACAAAGCTAATTGTGTGTCATGCAGCGGGCCTCGCTGATGCTGTGTATATGCTGGCTGTGGAGTAGGATGCTACTTATTGTTTTAATCTCTGAGTCAGTAGGTTTTGGGGGGAAAAAAGCAAATTGTTGTTGTTGTTTTTATATAATGATGTGGAAAATGCATTTAACATTTCTTACCCTTCCTTCTCTCTTTTTGAAGAACTTTTTTTGCCCTGAGCCTGCAGAGTGGCAGAGCAGGTCACAACAAATGAAGTATATCCCCTGAATATTGTTCCACTTTAGAAAAGACATCAGCACACAAGCTTGAGAAGGAGCAGCTGTAAGAACAGGAATAGAGAAAAAATAATAATAATAAAAAACACTTGTTATATGGTTTTCTGTTGTCAGTGCTTCAGCTGTCACCCAGGCAGTGACTTTAAATTGTATGCATTCTTGTTTAGGCTTCATCCTCAAGTTATAGAGGAGACCAAG